GGGGCAAGGTCAAAGATAGCGCTGGCTGCCCACTGTCCCCGCATCGTGTGCCAAAGGACAGCGCGTCTCTGATAAGCTGCGGCTTTGGGCATCCCTTCAGAGAGGCCAGGCGGACCCCGGGTGCAATCGGACATGAGGAAATCCTCTTTGGTAAATGCCGTGGACAGGCAGAGATGATTTTCTGGTAACTTAGGGCAAAATCTCGGCTGTTTTCCTGGCTGAATCTGCCAGGAGGGACATCCCGGCTGCAAACGCAGAAACTGGTACTCTGAGTGCATCGTCTGGCTGTTCAGCATCCTTCCTGCCGGCGTCATCCCTCGCCCGGGCTGGAACCAGCCTCCGGAGCATATAGAAACCCACGTGTGGGACAGCCCCAGCTGGCTGCCACCCCGCATCCTGTCGTCACAGCCACGGGACTTCTGGGACCCGGCCAGGAGAGGCGTGAGCGACTCATCCCACGGGCAGGGATGCTCCGTGCCCGTTCCTAATCCTCGCTTTGTCTGTTGCAGGCATCCCATTTCCTCTGGGCGTGCTGGGGCCTGATCCAGGATAAATACTCTACCATAGACTTTAACTTCTTAAGGTGAGTTCACCAGGGCTGGGGGCCATGTGCTCCCAGCGCGATTCAGTGTTAAATGACCGGAGCAAGAGGATCCCAGTGATCCCTCCGTGCTGGAGGGATGCTCCAAGGCAAGGGGACAAGGGGCTGGGGCACGAGTGTCTCATTGTCTGTCCCTCTCTCGGCAGATATGCAAAGCTAAGGTTTAAACAGTACTTCAAGATGAAGCCGGTGGTCACAGCCCTGCAGGTTTCTAAATAGCGTCTCCGGCCCGTGAGACCCTGAGCTATTTTGTTCTTGCTGCGTCCACAGCCCTCGCATCCCCCTTGCCCCTTCCCCGCCCCAGCCGGGGGCGAGGGCAGGTCCTGATGGTGGGAAGGGGGAGAGGAGATCTGCCTCAGCCACCGATTAAAGGAGACCCTGGACATACCTGAGACTGGACCACGAGATGCTAGAAGAGGACCACGGCCTCGGAGAGGCCCCTGCCTACGCAAGGAAGCCTTACCATCGCCTTAACGCTGAGCCCCGGCTCGGCCCCGGTGCCCAGCAGGTCTGTGCTTTGCCGGCACTACTGCTGCTTGGCCTTGGCACCCGGTTTGCTCCCTCTGTGCTGTCCCCGAGGGGGGAAACGGGTGCCACCGTCTGCTCAGGACCCCTCAGAGCTGCCCAGTTGCTTTAGCTGCACAATGCACACGCTGTGCCCTTCGTCTTTGCTGCTCTCTCCGTCCCCTCTTGCCTTGCCTGCTCGGTGCCGCTTGGGCTCCCACCCCCAAACCAGCACCTTTCTGGGGTCAGTATTGATGCTGGGCTTGGGGCTGTCCCTGAGCATGGGACCCTTCTCCACGAGGAGTGGGTGCTGCTGGGCTCCAGTTTGGATGGTGCAAAGCAGCAAGGGGAGGCAATGGCCATGAGCCGCGTGGGCTCGGGACCAGCGGGCTTGTGCTGGTGGGCGCTGGGTCCCTGCACCTCCTGCAACGTGCTCAGCCCACGGCTGGCCCTGCTTTTCCCCATGGCCGTGGTCTCCCTGATTCCCATTAACTCCCTGTTCCCATCGTGGCTTCCCTTGTAGCATCCCATGCTGCCGGAGCAAGGGGCTCCTAGGGCCAGGGGGGTCAGTCCTGCCCCCAACATGGGCACCATCCCCGTCCTCCTCTCGTGGCTGTGTCCCTGCGTGGGACCCCCCGGCAGGAGGTTGGATGGAGCCGACCTGCTCCATGAGCTGGGCACAGCTCCATCCCCTCTCAATACTCGGCTGCTCCCCAACCGGAGGCTCTGCGAGGGTGATCCTGGCCCGCTGAGCACTGTCCAGCTCACGACAGTGGTTGTGCATCGGCTAAGGGGTGGAATCAGACCCCTCTGCCCCTGCCCTGGCTGCTTGGCGAGCGGTATGGGGACAAGGCGGCTGTCCCCTCCGCGCGGGCACAGGAACCTGCCCCAGCAAGAACCGGGACTGTCGTTGCATCTGGTGTTCGTTTTGGTGCAAAATAAAAGCTGCTGGTAGCTGGAAACGCGGGACGGCGGATCTGTGGGGATTTGTGCCGGAGCAGGGGCAGCACCTCTGGGACTGGGGGGGGTACACTCAACCCCTCTCCTGCGGCTGGAGGTGCTGGGGAAGGCCAGAGCAGGAGCAGGGATGCTGGTGACGGGGTGGGCTGGTGATGTCCCCGTGCTCTCCCTTCAGGTGTGTGCATGCAGCGCTCGCTGCCCCGTCCCTGCTGGCAGCAATGGCTGGGGATTGTCCTTGTCCCAGAGCAATGCCCTGTGGTTTAAAACAGCCTTCTGGGGTGCTGAAGGCTGATCCCACATCTTCATCGTGCCCCACCACCACCACCCCCCGAGGCGAGGGCAGGTTGGCTGCAGCGGGCACCGGGCAGAGGAGGCTGAACCCCAAACCCGCTGCCATGTGGGGCGAGACCTCGAGAAACCACAGGTGAAAGGTGGGAAGGAGCCGGGAGCAGCCCGGGACACACCACAGACATCCAGGGCAGGAGAAAGAGCCAAGAAACAGCACAAGTGATAACGTGGCCGGGAGCAAGAACCTCAGGAGGGGGCTGTGCGGGAAGAGGGGCACGGAAAGGGGGGAACGAACACTCTCCATCTGTGCTCGGACCGCCCGGGGTGGGAGCTCCCCGTCCAGCCCTCGGCTCTCCCCAGCCCCAGCCTGGCAAAGCCCAGACCCAGCTCTCTGCTCCAAAAAGTCCTCTTTATTGTGCCAAGGGGTGGGGTGAGGGGGGGGGAACAATTGTAAACAAGTATGTGAAATATACAGGTTAAGTTACTCATCGTCTTATTAACAAAATAAAGCTCTATCTATATTTACAGTCTTTTTTTTTTTTAAAAAAAAAAAAAAAAAAGAAAAAGAAAAAGAAGAGAGAGAGGAAGAGCTGCATCTTTGTCGGGCAAATCTGCTTCCAGCCCCCTCTGCAGCACAGCCCATCCCACCCTGGGAACCATCACCCCTTCCCCAGGGACCCCGGCCCCGGCCAGAGCAGAGCTGGGA